TCCAGCTGTACGCCTTGTTATCTTAGGTAGGGTATATGTTGTGAAGACGACATTTAAATTGCAGAAAGATATAGATTGGTTTACTGACTGGGTGAAGATCTGGCAGCTGGAGTATGATGTGGGAAAATACAAAGCTATTGACTTAGTCATGAAAAATACAAAAGCAGAATGTTACATGAGGAACAACTGCAAATTCTGAAATGCAGAGACGTGGTGGTGTTCTGGTGCATGAATCATATAAAGTTAGTATGCAGGTACAGAATATAATCAAGAAGGTAAGCAAGGCATTATCCTTTATTGTGACAGGAATTGAACACAGAAGTAAGGATGTTATGCTTCAATTATACAGGGCAGTGGTGAGAATATACCTTGAATATTGCGTGCTGTTTTAGTCTTCTTATTTAAGGAAGGATGTAAGTGCATTGGAGGCAGTTCAAAGGAGGTTTATTGCACTGATACCGTGAATGAATGGGTTGTCTTACAACGATACGCTTGGCTTATTTCCACTGAAGTTTAGAAGAGGAAGGGTGACTAAGAGCCTGAAGAAGGGTCACCGGACCCGAAACGTTAACTCTGATTTTTCTTCACAGATGGTGCCAGACCTGCTGAGCTTTCCCAGCAACTTCTGTTTTTGTTGTTGTGACTAACAGCCTCAATGGTCTTGACTTGGTAGACATTTCATCTTTTGGGTGAGTCCAGAAGGAGGCAGCACTAGTTTAAAATTATGGTTCACTCTTTCAGGAGAGTGATGAGGAATTTTCTTCTGCACTCAGAGAGTTGTGTGACTTTGAAACTCTCTTGTTTCAGAAGGAGATGTGTGAGGAGTCACTGACTATTTTTAAGGCAGAGGTGAATACAGATTCTTGGCAGGCATGGGAATTACAAGCTGTGGCACTTGATGGGAATGTGGAATCCAGAACACAAACAGAGTAGCTGTGAACTTAACAAACATCACAGCAGGTTGAAGGAGCCAAATGGTCCACTACTCCTACTAATTCATACATAATGCTGAGATACACAGGGGCTGCTCTGGGTAATGCTGAGATACACAGGGGCTGCTCTGGGTCACAGTGAGATACACAGGGGCTGCCCCCGGTCACACTGAGATACACAGGGGCTGCTCCGGGTCACACTGAGATACACAGGGG